CGATGAGTGGAGTAATAGTAGTAGATGCAGAATCGTTTCGGTCTACTTGTCACGGGCGTGATGCCTATATACATGATCATGCTTAGATAATCTCATAACTATGCTCAATTCTGTCAATTGCTCAACAGTAATTTGTTCACCCACCGTAGAATACTTATGCTCTTGAGAGAAGCCACTAGTGAAACCTATGGCCCCGGGTCTATTCTCATCATATCAATCTCCATCACTTTAATCTTGCTTTGCTTTTTACTTTGCTTTTTACCTTTTTACTTTGCATCTCTATACCAAAAATACCAAAAATATTATATCTATCAGATCTCACTCTCGTAAGTGACCGTGAAGGGATTGACAACCCCTAATCGCGTTGGTTGCGAGTAGCTATCGTTTTGTGCAGGTACGAGGGACTTGAGTGTGGCCTCCTACTGGATTGATACCTTGGTTCTCAAAAACTGAGGGAAATACTTACGCTACTCTGCTGCATCATCCTTTCCTCTTGGGGGAAATCCAACGCAAGCTCAAGAGGTAGCAAGAAGAATTTGTACAATAACTGCATGCATAATAAAAAAATAGTTAGATTTTGTAAGGCCTAAGTGGTGCATGCAGAAATCAAGACTGATGGTAGCAAACGAGTGGATAGATCCAAAACTAATGATAGCAGGTGGATTATAGCTTTAGTTTTAAAAAGATAGAGACTGGATCATCTACTGTTTGTTGCCCACCCAACATGAACCACATAGAAGACCCCAGATGAACCAAATAGTAGACAGATACTATTCGTTGCTGCCTCGATATGAGACCCACAGGCATTTTAAAACTCAAGTTTGAACAATAAAGTAGAAGGTAATAATAACCGATGTATAACATAAGCAAACACAAAAGACTGCGACCTCTCTTCCGGAACTGTGTAATCCTCAGGTTCATCTGCTCAGTCGATGATGGTAATGCAGTTGGCGTGGCTGCTGGCAACGGGGAAGATGATCTGAGGCGGCGAAAGAAAATCTACAGGGGGAATCTCTGCTGCAGTGAATGCTTTTGTCGATGGTGCACCTCAGGTGGGGTGGATGATGGCACGGTAGGAGCAGGACATAACACACAGAGTTTTCTTTGACGCCTATCTGAAAATGAAGTAAATCTATAAGGGCTCCTTAGAATTGCAGGATTCTATAAACACAGGGACAGGAAAACACAGGAGTAGGATAGGAATGCACGTGCAAAACAGAGCATTTGGAAACATAGGATTTCTATCAACCTGGGTGTTTGGTTCACATGAATTGGAAGAACACAGGAATGGAGAAACATGGTCAAATTAAAGTCAAACCATGTGAAAATGAAAAAAAATAAGAATCTTATTATGCCAGTAATGCAATTAGTCATGTTCTTCATGCATATTAATTTGAAAAGGATGTCCAAGTGGATATTAAAATTCCTACATTTTTTCTTTGAAAGAGACACCAAAGGAAAAAAATCCTCCAGTTTTGCTTTGCTCCACTCCTTCTAACCAAATGCAGGAATAGTAGTACCATTGTAGTTCCATAGCAAAGGATCCCTGAGGGATTGACATGAATGCAGAGTAGCAAAGTGATGCAACAAGTGTACAACCTCTTTGGCATAGCCTTGTCGACCTCAGCATCATTGGGTTGGACGTGGAGGATGGTGATGCTGGTGTGACTGTCGGAGGCGGGGAAGAAGATCTGATGCCTCTAGAAATGGTATCGAGGATACTGCTCCACTGTGATGGATGGTTCCGTCGTTGGACCAGCTTCGATGAGGTGTACGGCGGCGAGGCTGAAGCAGGACAAGACAGACAACGTTAATCTGAAGTGGGACTCTAATATCATCTGCAATAGATGATGTAAAATACATCACCAAAAAGTGCTAGATGTAAAACGCATCAGCCGTGCCACGGCCACTCTGATAGATGCTATAAATTCTGTTCACTCTAAACTTAACTGAAGAAACTAAACTTTACAGTCAAAACTTATTGAACTAGTAGCAGAGCATTGCAATAGATGTTTAGGGCATTCGAGCATTAGTAGCAGAGAAGAAGTGATCTAAATCAGCAGACGCTCTAATAGGGAATGCACTAGCAGAGAGAAAGTCATGCAGAAGGACAGCGAGCGAGTGCTAAAGCAGCAACTCATGTAGCTACCGGACGTCGTGCAGCAGCAGCAGCAGCGCAAGCGAGAGCAAGAGCAGAGCAGCAGCTCGGAGCAAGAGCAGAGCAGCAACGACAATAGCAGAGAACAGCAGCAGCACAAACAAAAGCAAGAGCAGTGCAGCAGCATGACCGACAGCAAGAAAAGAGCCGCGGCGCGTGCGAGAGCCGGAGCAGCAGCGGTGGCGGCAGCGCGAACGAGAGCCGGAGCAGCTGTAGCTAGTGCCGGTGTGGAAGTCGCCGTCGAGGAAGCAACGACATGGGGGAGAGACGTCGTGGATGAAGTGGCCGGCGACGGCGGCGTCGATGGAGACCCGACATGGCTGCTCCGTATCGAGCACCAACAGCCCCATGAGATCGAATAAAAGAATGCAGCAATAAGTGCAGAATCTCCATGGTGGTGTCGAGTGGGCCTCAGCTTCATCGGAGGAATTGGTGTGGGTGCTGCGGTTCCGGTGGGGCAGGTCAAGACGACGCTGTGAGGATGGAGGTGGCGCGATAGATGAGGCGAACATCGGGGTAGCTCCTTGGAGGTGGAGGATGGGGCGGCTGATCTGGTGGGATGACGAGATCGACGATGGATCCTCATCCGATGCAGTCAATGAGGAACGGCGAGATGTTGCGGTGGACGATGTCATCGGGGAAGAGTCTCCAGCTGTGCGGCGGTCGGGAGGCCGACGAAGGAGCGTGGGGTTTCGCGGGTTTTGGCGGCCTCGGTGTATGAATGGGGCAAAGGGGAAGGTAGGGGGAGCCATGGCTTAGGTACGCACTTGTCCGAAATGTAGGGTAAGTTACCAGCATACCCCCACCGATTTGACACCGCGACATCGAGCCGGCATTTCCGGCTAAGGGGTAGAAGGGGGATTTCACGTGTCTGGGCCGCGGGACCGATTTTGGATGAGGAGGGAGTTTTCGCGCGGGTCAAAATTTTAGGATAACAAGGTGTGGAGCGGGTTGAAGAGGCGGGAGTTTCAACGCAGATGAGACAAAAGATATTCGAGCTTGAAAAATTCAGGATAACAAGGCGCGGATTCCTTGTTCGGTAGAACAAACTTAACGTGTACAAAAAAACAATTCATACAAGACACCCGAGAGTCATGTCCCCTTTTACTATATTGCTATAGATGTCACTGAAAAAACTACAAGAAAAATGTAAAATAAAATCAGGAGAACAAGATTACCCTGTATAGTACCAAATCGATTCGCACTTCCCTTAACAACAACAAAAAACAAATCAATTCCCACCAAAAGAAAGAGTCGTGTTCCTTTTTATATTATTACAAATGCCAGGATCTCAAATTTCAATTTTTGAATCCACGTTATGTTGAATTCGATTATATCGTTAGGCGACCTTGCGATTTATAATGGATGTAGTCCTACATTTGATCTTCCATCGTATATGAACATTTTACTCCACCCTATGAACATATATATTGTCGTCTACCATATGAACTAAATTTGAATCAATTTTCCTTATTTGAATAAGATTGTTGTCAAGTTATACAATAATTTAAATATTATCTTGATAACAAAAAACATGCATACAGCAGTAATCATATTTCACTATGAACTACATGTACCATACGATCTCCAATTCAAATATTTATATCCATTTTATGTTGAATTCAAATCAGAGTACATTGGTCTAGATAGAGAGATGTTCGGGATAATCTAAACCCTGTTTTCATATGTATATTTTTTGGCTGAATTGGGACAAGTTTTGGTGTAAGCTTCTTGCAAAACTGGAGATTCTCTCAACAAGCCTTGTGGTTCCGAGAGGGAACGTGTCACCTTTGTGTGCGAAACAATATACGCTGCCTCCCCCCTAATTTTATTTATAGAGGCAACATAGAACTATATGAGTGCCCTGATAAATTTTGGAATTATTCCGGGTTCGTTTGGCCTTTTTTATACATTAATTGATTTTTGACATTTAATGTGCATAATCCAAATTTGAACTACAAGCACATGCTCAGGTGCACCAAAGTTGGTTGAAAAATCAGATGTGTGTCATTGGGTGGATTTCTAGGTCCCATGCAAGAAATGGAAATCAAATTCAAACATCTTGGCGTTGTGACTCAGCCGAGAACATCGAGAAACTTAGTTTTAAAATTCATGTAAATTCAAAACTCGCCTAGAAAACATGAAACTTGACATGGTGTCATGTCATTGAAATAACATGATGTGGTAAAAAAATTGGGCCTATTTAGAACAAGTTTTTGTATAAGCTTCTTGCAAACCGGAGCTTCTCTCAAGATGGCTCGTGGTTCTAAGAGGGAACGTGTCACCTTTGAGTGTGAAACGATATACGCTGCCCCCCTTGAGTTTCTTTACAGAGGCAATATAGAACTACATGAGTGCCCTGTTAAATCTATCTATCTATTATATAATTAAAACAAGAGTAAAACAAGCCGTCACATTTGTCCACATATGCTAATCCTTTTTACGCCATTTGATTAGAATAACAACGGCTGAGATTTAAAGTTTCTATGTAACATGTAAAAATATATGTACCAGCAGTATTGAACCTTTATGTTGCCACATTAGATGCATATAGAACCATAACACTAGGGCGCACGGGAAGAACTACATGGACAAATATTGTTTAAAAAACTTGGACACATATTGTTTGAGTCCAATACAATCATGTACGAACTGATGCATGTCCGAATTGGAAAGCAAAAAAGGGAAAATACAAAACAAAGCGCTTACACATATGTAGGAGCAATACAAACTCCAGGAGCCACACGTTTGCATGCTTCGAATACTGGACAATATGGACTAGGCAATTGGCAAAAAAAAAACAATTGTGTGTCCGATAAAGGATCAAAGCTAGTCTCTTCTCTCACATGATCCATCTCTTCTTGCCTGAAGCAGGTTCCACGTCCCTTGCCACAGACGTTTTATAAAGAAGATCAATTGCTATGGTTTCCAAATTCCTGGCGCTATAGCCGTCACTTCTGATCCTTCCTTCCGTGTCATCGGCGAGGCACCCGCCGAAGCGCTTGAGCAGCCTAGGAGAAGAGTAGGGCATGTTCAAATCAGCAGCATGAGGGATAAGGCGGCCATGACTAAGGTGACATATTGAGGTGCAGGACGCAGCGATAGGGAGGCCGAGATTGCTTCCTCGGCCTTTGTCCACTTCTTCGCCTTGCACATGCATACCCACCCACACCGTTGCATCCAAGCTAGGATGAATGTAACCACGGTCCAGCGGCAAAAACTTAGGTCTGAGACACATCCGCCTACAAGCCACCATAGCTGACGGCTATGTGATGCTCGAGCTCCGACTCTTCTTTGGATCATTAGTTCCCAGGTTTGTTCATCTTCTGCGTACCTCAATTTTGTGGCTTCTGGAATAAACAGGTATGCGTAGTTGAGATGTTAGATTCTCAATGAATGTGGTTAGAGCCTTAGACTAATGATGTGACGCAAGACCATTGCATAGCTACCTCTACTCTGATCGGATTTATACACTAAGGTTAATCTTATTTGCAAAGCTATAAAAAATTATCTATATTATCTTTACAACAAAAATGCTTAACTGTGTATTTATGGAATTGTACAAATTTTAGTTACATATTCATCATAGCAAAAATGTGTCATTGATTATGCACATTACATAGGTGAATTAATCTCCAAATTTGGATGCCAATGGATTATTCACCCAAATGAAGCATGTGGAATCAAGAATAACCAAAAAAATCACAAACTTGCTTCTGTCCCATAATATAAGATGTTTTTGGCATTGTGTACTGCCAGAAAACATCATATATTATCGAACAGAGGGAGCATAATGGAACCATATCTGGATTATTTATGTCTCTTAACTTCCTTGCATTGCTATTGGGTGATTTTTTGAAGGATTTTTCTTTCACAACAATAACTATAATAGATTTGTTACAACAAAATATTCAAATGATCATTTTGTGATTGTCGCAAACTCACTACAAAGAAAATTGACAAGAACTTTCATATATATTTAATTTGTAGTAACAATTGTGGTATATATCTATAAATTCTAACACCTGGTAAGCATATTCTACTAATTTGAACAAGAACTTCCATATTATACTTACTCTAGTCCTTCCTTCCCTGTCGTCGGCAAGGCACCCGCTGAAGCGCTCGAGCAGCCTAGGAGAAGAAGAGTAGGGCAGGTTCAAATCAGCAGCATGAGGGATAAGGCGGCCATGACTAAGGTGACATATTGAGGAGTAGGACGCGGCGATAGGGAGGCAGAGATTTGCTTCTTCGACCTTCATCCACTTCTTCGCCCTGCACATGCATATCTTCCCACACCATTTCCTCCAAGCTAGGATGAATGTAACCACGGTCCAGTGGCAACAAGTTAGGTCTGAGACACATCCGCCCACAAGCCACCATAGCTGACAGCTATGTGATGCTCGAGCTCCGACACTTCATTGGATCATCAATTCTTAGGTTTGTTCATCTTCTACATACCTCAATTTCGTGGCTTCTGGAACAAACAGATATGCGTAGTTGAGATGTTAGATTCTCCATGAATGTGGTTAGAGCCTTAGACTAATGATGTGACACATGACCATTGCATAGCTACCTCTACTCTGATTGTATTTATACATCAAGGTTAATCCTATCTGCAATGCTATAAAAAATTATTTACATTATCTTTACAACAAAAATGCCTGATTGTGTATTTACGGAATTGTATGTATTATATAATTAAAACAAGAGTAAAACAAGCCGTCACGTTTGTCCAAATATGCTAATCCTTTTTACGCCATTTGATTAGAATAACAATGGCTGAGATTTAAAGTTTCTATATAACATGTAAAAATATATGTACCAGCAGTATTGAACCTTTATGTTGCCACGTTAGATGCATATAGAACCATAACACTAGGGCGCACGGGAAGAACTACATGGACACATATTGTTTAAAAAACTTGGACACGTAATGTTTAAGTCCAATACAATCACGTACGAACTGATGCATGTCCGAATTGGAAAGCAAAAAAGGGAAAATAAAAAACAAAGCGCTTACACATATGCAGGAGCAATACAAACTCCAGGAGCCACACGTTTGCATGCTTCGAATACATGGACAATATGGACTAGGCAACTGGCAAAAAAACAATTGTCTGTCCGATAAAGGATCAAAGCTGGTCTCTTCTCTCACCTGATCCATCTCTTCTTGCCTGAAGCAGGTTCCACGTCCCTTGCCACATACGTTTTATAAAGAAGATCAATTGCTATGGTTTCCAAATTCCTGGCGCTATAGCCGTCACTTCTGATCCTTCCTTCTGTGTCGTCGGCGAGGCACCCGCCGAAGCGCTTGAGCAGCCTAGGAGAAGAGTAGGGCATGTTCAAATCAGCAGCATGAGGAATAAGGCGGCCATGACTAAGGTGACATATTGAGGAGCAGGATGCAGTGATAGGGAGGCAGAGATTGCTTCGTCGGCCTTTGTCCACTTCTTCGCCTTGCACATGCATACCCACCCACACCGTTGCCTCCAAGCTAGGATGAATGTAACCACGGTCCAGCGGCAAAAACTTAGGTCTGAGACACATCCGCCTACAAGCCACCATAGCTGATGGCTATGTGATGCTCGAGCTCCGACTCTTCTTTGGATCATCAGTTCTCGGGTTTGTTCATCTTCTGCGTACCTCAATTTCGTGGCTTCTGGACCAAACAGATATGCGTAGTTGAGATGTTAGATTCTCCATGAATGTGGTTAGAGCCTTAGACTAATGATCTGACGCAAGACCATTGCATAGCTACCTCTACTTTGATCGGATTTATACACCAAGGTTAATCTTATTTGCAAAGCTATAAAATATTATCTATATTATCTTTAAAACAAAAATGCTTAACTGTGTATTTATGGAATTGTACAAAATTTAGTGACATATTCATCATAGCAAAAATGTGTCATTGATTATGCACATTACATAGGTGAATTAATCTACAAATTTGGATGCCAATGGATTATTCACCCAAATGAAGCATGTGGAATCAAGAAAAACCAAAAAAATCACAAACTCGCTTCTGTCCCATAATATAAGATGTTTTTGGCATAGTGTACTGCCAGAAAACATCATATATTATCGAACAGAGGGAGCATAATGGAACCATATCTGGATTATTTATGTCTCTTAACTTCCTTGGGTTGCTACTGGGTGATTTTTTAAGGATTTTTCTTTCACAACAATAACTATCATAGATTTGTTACAACAAAATATTATGATCATTTTGTGATTGTCGCAAACTAACTACAAAGAAAATTAACAAGAACTTTCATATTATATTTAATCTATAGTGACAATTGTGGTATATATCTATAAATTCTAACACCTGGTAAGCATATTCTACTAATTTGAACAAGAACTACCATATTATACTTACTGTGGTCCTTCCTTCCTTGTCGTCGGCAAGGCACCCGCTAAAGCGCTCGAGCAGCCTAGGAGAAGAAGAGTAGGGAAGGTTCAAATAAGCAGCATGAGGGATAAGGCGGCCATGACTAAGGTGACATATTGAGGAGAAGGACGCAGCGATAGGGAGGCAGAGATTTGCTTCTTCGACCTTCGTCCACTTCTTCGCCCTGCACATGCATATCTTCCCACACCATTTCCTCCAAGCTTGGATGAATGTAACCACGGTCCAGTGGCAACAAGTTAGGTCTGAGACACATCCGCCCACAAGCCACCATAGCTGACAGCTATGTGATGCTCGAGCTCCGACACTTCATTGGATCATCAGTTCTCAGGTTTGTTCATCTTCTACATACCTCAATTTCGTGGCTTCTGGAACAAACAGATATGGGTAGTTGAGATGTTAGATTCTCCATGGATGTGGTTAGAGCCTTAGACTAATGATGTCACGCATGACCATTGCATAGCTACCTCTACTCTAATTGTATTTGTACACCAAGGTTAATCCTATTTGCAAAGCTATAAAAAATTATTTACATTATCTTTACAACAAAAATGCCTGACTGTGTGTTTATGGAATAGTATCTATTATATAATTAAAACAAGAGTAAAACAAGCCGTCACGTTTGTCCACATATGCTAATCTTTTTACGCCATTTGATTAGAATAACAACGGCTGAGATTTAAAGTTTCTATGTAACATGTAAAAATATATGTACCAGCAGTATTGAACCTTTATGTTGCCACGTTAGATGCATATAGAACCATAACACTAGGGCGCACGGGAAGAACTACATGGACACATATTGTTTAAAAAACTTGGACACGTATTGTTTGAGTCCAATACAATCACGTACGAACTGATGCATGTCCGAATTGGAAAGCAAAAAAGGGAAAATAAAAAACAAAGCGCTTACACATATGCAGGAGCAATACAAACTCTAGGAGACACACGTTTGCATGCTTCGAATACATGGACAATATGGACTAGGCAATTGGCAAAAAAACAATTATGTGTCCGATAAAGGATCAAAGCTGGTCTCTTCTCTCACATGATCCATCTCTTCTTGCCTGAAGCAGGTTCCACGTCCCTTGCCACAGACGTTTTATAAAGAAGATCAATTGCTATGGTTTCCAAATTCCTGGCGCTATAGCCGTCACTTCTGATCCTTCCTTCCGTGTCATCGGCGAGGCACCCGCCGAAGCGCTTGAGCAGCCTAGGAGAGTAAGGCATGTTCAAATCAGCAGCATGAGGGATAAGGCGGCCATGACTAAGGTGACATAATGAGGAACAGGACGCAGCGATAGGGAGGCAGAGATTGCTTCCTCGGCATTTGTCCACTTCTTCGCCTTGCACATGCATACCCACCCACACCGTTGCCTCCAAGCTAGGATGAATGTAACCATGGTCCAGCGGCAAAAACATAGGTCTGAGACACATTCGCCTACAAGCCATAATAGCTGACGGCTATGTGATGCTCGAGCTCCGACTCTTCTTTGGATCATTAGTTCTCAGGTTTGTTCATCTTCTGCGTACCTCAATTTCGTGGCTTCTAGACCAAACAGATATGCGTAGTTGAGATGTTAGATTCTCCCTGAATGTGGTTAGAGCCTTAGACTAATGATGTGACGCAAGACCATTGCATAGCTACCTCTACTCTGATCGGATTTATACACCAAGGTTAATCTTATTTGCAAAGCTATAAAATATTATCTATATTATCTTTACAAAAAAATGCTTAACTGTGTATTTATGGAATTGTACAAAATTTAGTTACATATTCATCATAGCAAAAATGTGTGATTGATTATGCACATTACATAGGTGAATTAATCTCCAAATTTGGATGCCTATGGATTATTCACCCAAATGAAGCATGTGGAATCAAGAATAACCAAAAAATCACAAACTCGCTTCTGTCCCATAATATAAGATGTTTTTGGCATTGTGTACTGCCAGAAAACATCATATATTATCGAACAGAGGGAGCATAATGGAACCATATCTGGATTATTTATGTCTCTTAACTTCCTTGGGTTGCTATTGGGTGATTTTTTAAGGCTTTTTCTTTCACAACAATAACTATAATAGATTTGTTACAAAAAAATATTCAAATGATCATTTTGTGATTGTCGCAAACTAACTACAAAGAAAATTGACAAGAACTTTCATATATATTTAATTTGTAGTAACAATTGTGGTATATATCTATAAATTCTAACACCTGGTAAGCATATTCTACTAATTTGAACAAGAACTACCATATTATACTTACTCTGGTCCTTCCTTCCCTGTCGTCGGCAAGGCACCCGCTGAAGCGCTCGAGCAGCCTAGGAGAAGAAGAGTAGGGCAGGTTCAAATCAGCAGCATGAGGGATAAGGCGACCATGACTAAGGTGACATATTGAGGAGCAGGACGCAGCGATAGGGAGGCAGAGATTTGCTTCTTCGACCTTCGTCCACTTCTTCGCCCTGCACATGCACATCTTCCCACACCATTTCCTCCAAGCTAGGATGAATGTAACCACGGTCCAGTGGCAACAAGTTAGGTCTGAGACACATCCGCCCACAAGCCACCATAGCTGACAGCTATGTGATGCTCGAGCTCCGACACTTCATTGGATCATCAGTTCTCAGGTTTGTTCATCTTCTACATACCTCAATTTCGTGGCTTCTAGAACAAACAGATATGCGTAGTTGAGATGTTAGATTCTCCATGAATGTGGTTAGAGCCTTAGACTAATGATGTGACGCATGACCATTGCATAGCTACCTCTACTCTAATTGTATTTGTACACCAAGGTTAATCCTATTTGAAATGCTATAAAAAATTATTTACATTATCTTTACAACAAAAATGTCTGACTGTGTGTTTATGGAATTGTATCTATTATATAATTAAAACAAGAGTAAAACAAGCCGTCATGTTTGTCCACATATGCTAATCCTTTTTACGCCATTTGATTAGAATAACAACGGCTGAGATTTAAAGTTTCTATGTAACATGTAAAAATATATGTACCAGCAGTATTGAACCTTTATGTTGCCACGTTAGATGCATATAGAACCATAACACTAGGGCGCACGGGAAGAACTACATGGACACATATTATTTAAAAAACTTGGACACGTATTGTTTGAGTCCAATACAATCACGTACGAACTGATGCATGTCCGAATTGGAAAGCAAAAAAGGGAGAATAAAAAACAAAGCGCTTACACATATGTAGGAGCAATACAAACTCCAGGAGCCACACGTTTGCATGCTTCGAATACATGGACAATATGGACTAGGCAATTGGCAAAAAAACAATTGTGTGTCCGATAAAGGATCAAAGCTGGTCTCTTCTCTCACATGATCATCTCTTCTTGCCTGAAGCAGGTTCCACGTCCCTTGCCACAGATGTTTTATAAAGAAGATCAATTTCTATGGTTTCCAAATTCCTGGCGCTATAGCCGTCACTTCTGATCCTTCCTTCCGTGTCATCGGCGAGGTACGCGCTGAAGCGCTTGAGCAGCCTAGGAGAAGAGTAGGGCATGTTCAAATCAGCAGCATGAGGGATAAGGCGGCCATGACTAAGGTGACATATTGAGGAACAGGACGCAGCGATAGGGAGGCAGAGATTGCTTCCTCGGCCTTTGTCCACTTCTTCGCCTTGCACAAGCATACCCACCCACACCGTTGCCTCCAAGCTAGGATGAATGTAACCATGGTCCAGCGGCAAAAACTTAGGTCTGAGACACATCCTCCCACAAGCCACCATAGCTGACAGCTATGTGATGCTCGAGCTCCGACACTTCATTGGATCATCAGTTCTCAGGTTTGTTCATCTTCTACATACCTCAATTTCGTGGCTTCTGGAACAAACAGATATGCGTAGTTGAGATGTTAGATTCTCCATGAATGTGGTTAGAGCCTTAGACTAATGATGTGACGCATGACCATTGCATAGCTACCTCTACTCTGATTGTATTTATACACCAAGGTTAATCCTATTTGCAATGCTATAAAAAATTATTTACATTATCTTTACAACAAAAATGCATGACTGTGTATTTATGGAATTGTACAAAATTTATTTACATATTCACCATAGCAAAATTGTGCCATTGATTATGCACATTACATAGGTGAATTTCTCCAAATTTGGTTATCA